AAGAGACACTGTGTTTTTCAAAGCCTCTTGCAATGTTCCGTCCATGTTCTTCTTTTCTGGTGTGTAGTGTTCTTGTAGTTTTGCCTACATACTGTAAGCCACAAGATATAATATTATCAAGTAGATTAGGTTTTTCGAATGACAGGTTAAAAAGTATTTAACTTGATACTCTATTCCATCTTTGTTAGTAAAAAATTTTATATGTCTTTTTTTATTTGCAGTTCTTTTGCATGCTAGGCACTGGCTGCAGCCAACAAATCATTTGTCTGTGTTAAAAAAAGTGTTTACTGTTTTCTTTTCTTTTATAAAACTTGACATAAGGGCAATAAGGAGGTTGCTAACCCCTCTATGTACAAAGCGAGGTTTCTCTGGGAGAAATGTCTAAGCAATAGGGTCTTGTAGAACAATAGGCCAAAATTTAGAGACTATTTTTCTCACTTTATAATTTACTAAAATCACATATAAAAGGGATTTCTTTAAAATCATTTTCTTTTTTCTCTTTATATTTTAAAAGGCTATTTCTTTCAATTTCTTTAACTTCTTGTCTAGTTTTTTCTAATTTATATTCTTCATACCCTTTCTCTATGAAATCTTGTTTAATTTGTTTAATTTTATCCGATTGGGTTTCAAAAATCATTGGGTCAGTGCAATTGTGACGTATTCTTAAGAATTGGCCTCTAGGGGCATTCTCCAGCCAAGGCGAGAAATGGCAACTCTCTCCTCCTATTTAACTGTTGGCTTCTACTGCTTTGAAATAATTTTTGGTTTTTATTCCATTGTCCTCTATGTATATCTGTAGATCTAAGAAAACAACTTCTGCCTTGCTCCAGTTGCTAGTTAATTTAATCCCCCATGAATTTGTATTAAGATAATCGAGAAATTCAATCAAATCATCCTCCTCTCCTTCCCAGATGAAGAAGATATCTTCAATGTAACGGCCATAGGTGACCAAGTTCTTCCTCCAGCCATGCGGGCCATAAATGAAAGTATTTTCCCAATGGGCCATAAACAAGTTGGCATAGCTGGGTGCAAACCTATCATAATTGTGAAACTAAAGACACCATATTTCTAGGAATAAAAAAAGTGGATAAAGATTGGAGAGGAGGAAATTTTGATACGAAAATTAGTAAATGTGAAATGGAATGGATTTTCAAATTAAATACTTTGATTCCTAACGGACTAAATGGAAATTTTGAAATGTGTCACTTTTTAAAATAAGATCACTATCTCTTAAATGGCTTCCACTCCTTTTCTTTCCTTGTTTTAGAGTTAGTTTTACCTGGTATGTCACTTTATATTTTATTATATATATTTTATTATACATATATTTTACATATAATATCCTTCAAATTAAGTCTATTAATATATTACTTTATCTCTTATTTTTGTAATTATATACTTTATTTACATATATTATGTTTTATTTTTCTCATGTGTATATATTTTTGTCTGTTTAATAGTATTACATTTGTATATATTTATATACATTCTTTTTTTTTTGAAATTTGTAGTTTATTGTTTTTCCACAAGTGTAAATGGGCGGGGGGAAGGGGAGAGGGTACAGAAAAAAGAAGGAGGAGGGACAGTCACGATACCATGAGTCACATGTTGAGCGATGGGTATGCCTTTACATTATTTACACAATTACAGTTCTTACGCAGTTACATTGCTTACAGTTGCGTATATTAGTTCATTTTTACACAATAGGTACGTCAGTCATACAATAGTTACACAATTTACACAATAGTTACACAATAGTTACACCACAATCGGGGACCTCTCTATGGTGGTCGCCCAGCTAGCCACTATTCCAGCCACGATTTATGCTATTCTGTCTGTCTCTTAGTTCCTTACTGCCTGACTGTCCTAGTCCTGCGGTTTGCTCTTGGGTCGCTACAGCGTCCTACTATATTAGGCGTTGAGGTTGGCCTTTCTCCAGGTGCGCCATTGGTCCCAAGCCCCTCCAAGGCTGCTTGAGCCAGAGCGCGTCCCGGAAAAACTGGTTTCATAGATTGCCTGGTTATCTATATCCTGAATAAGGTTTGGGATATGGGGGGCCTCATTTGTTTTCCAGGATCTGGCTATTAGTTTTTGTGCGGTCAGCAGTATATGGTATATTAGTTTTCTCGACTGTTTGGGTACTTCCCTAGGGACGTCCAATAGCAAAAAGGGCCTGGGTTCAAAAGGTATTTTGATTTTTGTGGTGTCAGCAATTAGTTTTTGGACATCTCCCCAGTACCTAATTAAACGTGGGCAACGCCACCATATGTGAAGGACTGACCCCGCCTCTTGTTTGCATCTCCAGCACATCGGAGATGAGTGAGGATACAGTTTATGTAGGCGAAGCGGCACCATATACCACCTGTATATTGTTTTCTGGTATTGCTCCATGAGGGAGGCAGATTTGACCAGCTTTCTAACGGAGGATGTGAGAGTTTTCCACTGATTGTCAGTGATGGAGGTTTGAAGGTCCATTTCCCATTGGTTTGCCTGTGTGGAGCCCGGTAGGGACTGGTATGGCAGAATTAGTTTATAGCAATTTGAGAGTGGCTTATAAAGTGGAGGAATTTTACCCGTGATACCTATTTGTTCCCAGGTGGAGGGGTCTCCCATTTTATTTGATTCTACTTTGTTGTCCTTGTTGAGTTTGTGCAGGAAGGATTTAAGTTGGATGTATGAGTATTGTGAGGTGTGTGGGATGTTGTAGGTTCTACTGAGACGCTCGAAGCTCATTAGTCCACCTGGGTCATAGGCTTGGGACAGGAAGGAGATACCTTTCTCTTTCCATGGGGTGGCATGGAAGGTGGGGATGCAATACGTGATGGCCTCGATGGGTGTCGCCATTGAGAGGGGGTGGGCCGTTTCGAATTTCGTTCTATGTAAGTCCCAAGTTTGCAGTGCTAGGTGAAGTTGTAACGGTATCAGCGGAATATGTGGTCTGCTCTTGTTAGGTAGCCATAGCAGGTTGGCGACTAGGAAAGGTTTAATAGCTAGGTTTTCTAGGGTCACCCATTGTGGTCGGTTATCTTTAGTTAGGTGGTTCAATAGGGGCGCTAGGACCGCAGCCTGGTAGTAGTGTTTTACATTCGGGAATGCCATACCTCCACGCCTTATGGGGGCCGACAATAGTTTGTTGGAGACTCTTGCCCGTCCCTTGCCCCAGATAAACTGGAGGAGCGTAGATTGTATGGTTTTAAAATAGGATTGTGGAACTTTCAAGGGGAGGTTCCTAAACACATATTGTAGTTTCGGTAATACGGTCATTTTAATTGCGACAATGCGCTCCGTCCAGGTAAGGAACAGTTTGCCCCAACCCCGTAACAGGGCCAAGCATTCAGTCCAGACTCTGGTATAATTGGTAGGGAACATGTCAGAGGATTTCCTAGTGAACGTCAGGCCTAGGTATTTTATATCATTTTTTCTCCACTCGAATTGGTAATCTTTGCGTAGTTGCGCTAGGACCTGTGGGTCCAAGCGCAGCCCCAATGCCTGGGTTTTAGTTGCGTTTAGGGAATAGTAGGAGAGTTTCCCATATTTGTCAATGAGCTTCATGATGTGAGGGAGGGATTTATCTGGTTGGCAGACATATAGTAGGATATCGTCAGCGAATGCGCTGATCTTGATGTGCTGGTCTTGCCAGGTGATGCCTTTTATGTCTGGGTGTGATCTAATGGCAACTAGTAGCGGCTCCAAGGCCAGTACATACAACAGAGGTGACAAAGGGCATCCCTGTCGGGTGCCATTCGTGATTTTGAATGGATCTGATTTAAATCCCGCTTGTAGCACCTGGGCCCTAGGGTGGCTATATAGAGCGAATACCTGTTGAATGAACTGTTGTGGGAACCCAAACACTGAGAGAACCTGCCGTAGGAAGGGCCAGCCCAGGCGGTCGAACGCTTTTTCAGCATCCAAGGCTAAGAGCAACCCGCCTGGGCCAGACCTCCGCATCTGCTCCATGAGCAGGGACAGTTTCCGGGTATTATCGAGTCCCTGCCTCCCCATCACAAACCCCGTTTGGTCATCATGGATGATTGAGGGTAGTATTTTGCCCAATCTGGAGGCCAAGATTTTTGCATAAATCTTAGCATCCGTATTTAGCAGGGATATTGGCCTGAAATTCTTACATTGATCCGGGGGCTTTCCTGGCTTTGGCAGCGTAACTATGGTCGCGAGTAGCATTTCGGAAGGAAGCTCCCCTTTCTCTGAGGCTGCCTGGAACACTTTAACTAGTCTGGGACCCAGTACCTCTGCAAACATCTTATAGTACAGGTTGGGGAGGCCGTCTGCTCCTGGGGACTTGCCTGGAGGAAGGTGTTGTATCGTATGGAGCACCTCCCGCAGTGTAATAGGTTGGAGTAGTAGATCCAATTGGGATTGATTAATTCGTGGGAGGTGAAGGTGGGACAGAAACTCCGTTATGTTGTCGTTTTCTATGGGGGGGATTTCGGGTTTGTCTCCCAGGTTGTACAGGTCGGAGTAGTATTTTGCAAACTCCTGGGTAATATCTAATGGGTTTTGTAGTTTAGTACCGTTTGGGCCCTGTATGTATGCTACTTTGGCGGCCGCCAATTTCTCTCTCAGCCTATTAGCTAATTGTTTATTAGCTTTCCCACTGTGATGGTAATGGGTCGCTTTCAGTTTAAGTAAGAAATAGGACGTTTTGGCTGCGTGCATTTCGGTAAGTTTGTCCGTTAGAGTTTGGATTTGTTGTGCGAAAGTGTGTGAAGGTGTCTGCTTATTTTGTGCAGTGATAATTGCCAATTGTTTTTGGCAGTCCATTATAGTCAATTGTTTGTTTTTCTTTTTAAGGTATGAGGAGCGTCTAATGAACAGGCCTCTTACTACAGCTTTGTGTGCCAACCATACCATGACATCGGGTGTCTCCCCCTCAGAATTTGTTAGGAAGTACTGGGAAAGTTCACCTGCCACTTGGTCTACAAAGGTTTTATCCTGCAGTAAAGATTCATTTAGTCTCCAATTCCCTCTACCTTTAAACTGAAATTTGTCGTACAACTCTAGGGTCACTGGGCTATGGTCCGACCACGTTATGTCTCCCATAACACACCCTGAGGTCTGCGCCAGAGTGGACTGATCCACATAAAAGGTGTCAATTCGAGTGTACGTGTTGTGTACCTTAGAGTGAAATGAATAATCCCGTTCACTAGGGTGAAGTACTCTCCAACTATCATATAGATTATGCAATAAGAGTATTTTGGACAGTTTCTTGCTCGTGGAAACTAGGCTCGCTCTTCTAGGCCCCTTCAAGGTAGCGGTTGAGTCAATGTCTGGAGACGTTATGAAGTTAAAGTCACCACACATCACCAATCCTCCCTGTCTCAGTTTATCTATTTCATTAAGTATGCGTCTTAGGAACCTCTCCGCTCCAGTGTTGGGAAAATATACCGAAGACAACGTGTATTGAACATTATTGAATAGGCCCACAAGAATGATATACCTTCCCTGGGTGTCTATGGAGATTGCTTGCTCCTGGAACGCTATGTCTTTGTGTATGAGGATGGAAACTCCTTTCGACTTATTATCTGAAAGGGCATGGTACTGTGTGGGATACAGTTTGGCGAAAATTGAAGGGGTTCGAGGTTTCATGAAGTGCGTTTCCTGAACACACGCTATATCTATCTCACTTTTCTTAAGATCCTGCAGTAGTAGCCTGCGTTTCCCCGGGGAGTTTAGACCTTTTACATTGTGTGTTAAAATTTTAACCATTGTGAAGTAGGCAAGGTATGGGCTCTTTTAGACCTGGTCTTTGGTACCAGAAGAGTTGTAAAAACAGTGATTTGTTCCAGCAGTACGCATCTGCTATATCTTTTTTTTGAGCTGTATGGATCGCGACTGGGGGGAGCTGGTGTGGGATAGGGCGAAGGGTGAGTAAGTGGGCAGGGTGGATTGGGGAGAACTGGTGGGTGACACACCCAACTCGGCTCCAAACTGTGGGGCCGTGTGACCTTACTTATCGAGTAAGTATGGCTGGTGGGGGTAGTGGTGATGAAGTGTCTACTCATAGTGGACTATCACCATGAAACCAGAGGGGCAGTCTTACGCTTATTTATACTATCAGTAAGTCATAAAGTATAATCACAAAATTTCGAAGTAGCTTATCCACTAACTAAGTCTAACCACATTACACAGTATCATTCTACATTTTATCGACATTTGTGCTCACGTCCCCGTGAGAGGACTGTTAAAGGCTTGGTGGGCAGCGTCATATTCTAGCCAGCAATCCTTGCTGCTTAGTCTACGGAACCATTTTGTACCCGCTACATTGATGCGGTAAACTTAACTATCTCTAATATAACTAGTAACATAACATAACATCAAGATTAAATAGGGCATATTTAGTTACGTATATCATCGGAGGTTACCAGTCTTTTCATTTGACAGTCCACTCTGGTGACTTCCTTGGCATCGCTGTTGTCTTGGCTGGTTCTGGTGTCGGTGTAGGGAGCCCCCAGTCACCCATTTTCTGGATACCTTGTTTCGTGTTGGTAATAGAATGTATCGCTCCTTGGTGGGAGACCAAAAGCTTAGCAGGGAACCCCCATCGGTAGCTCAGGTTGTGCTCGCGTAGGATGGAGGTGATCGGCGACATTGACTTCCTGAACTGCAGTGTATCCGCTGACAGGTCCGCGAAGATTTTGATTGTGCTGTATTCTTTCGGCATGCCCGAATTCCTGCTGACTCGCATGAGCTTGTCTTTTGCGTGGAAGAAATGTATCCTGGCAATTACATCTCTCTCAGCCGTTTGCGGCAAGTGTTTCGGCCTGCGTAGCCTGTGTGCTCTGTCTATAATCAGTTGGTCCGGATGGATTTCTGGGACCAGGCACTGGAACATGTCTGACAAGTAATTATGCAGTTCGTCATTAGTAACGGTTTCCGGGATTCCCCTGAACCGGAGATTGTTTCTCCTCGCCCTGTCTTCTATGTCAGCCAGTTTTAGCCTATGCGCTTCCAGACTTACTTCAAATTCCTGGAGTTTGTCTGCCAGGCTGTTGTGAGCCTCCGCATATTCGTCCATCTTGGACTCCATTTGAGCTGTGCGAGTCCCAATATCTTGTATATCCTTCTGTAAGTCTGCTGTCATAGCTTGTATTTGCAGCTGCATATTTTTCTGTATGGTGTCTGAGAATTCTGACATTAGTGAGCGCATTCCCCTCACCGTGAGTGGTTGATCTTCTGCACTCTGTGTGGGAGATGAGCGAGGTGAGAAGGAGTGTTCCTGCGGTCCCGGGTCGCCGCCATCTTGTGCAGGCTCTTCTCCCTCATGCTGTCTGGAGGCCGCGATTTTCGCGCCGAAAAAGGAGGCTCGTTCCGCTTTCCCCGTTTTGGATTTGGGTCTGTGGGCCATTGCGCACTTAAGCCCCCTGTACTTGGTGTAATGATTGCTCGGTATACCGCTTATTTATCGCCCGCTCTGGTTTCTATGCAGGGAGCTGCTCCTACATGCGACCGCTCAGCTCCGGCGGCAAGCCACGCCTCCCCATATCCTTACATTTTAATAAGCATAAATGAGAATAATACTGTTGAAGTATACATCTGATTAGACCTCAGTGATACAAGCAGTGCACCTGTCTGTTTGGTCATTGGCATGTGGACTAAAAATCAAACCTACAGCGACAAATGTAGAAAGTTTTGTGAAGGTAGCAATGTGATTTTATGATATGTTCTAGGAATCAGAAATTAACTTTGTGGTCAAATATGTGAGCAACAAATGCTAATGTTGATATTCTGTTATAGGCTTTTGCAAGATGATTGTAAATTGATCAGTTTGTTTCTATATCTAATTGAGTTTTTAATATTTTGAGTGTGGGGTGAGCACTCAGCACCTTACTGTATCATTGGGGTGCTCTCCTCGCCCAATCAGCTCTCAGAATTATTCATATGCACTGCTGCTCTTAGTAAATGGCTCTGAAGTCACATTGCTCTCGAGTGGTAAGGTTTGTGCAGCTTAAATAGCAAATCACTTTTTACAGTTTTTTACCTTGAGATTATGGGAGTGGTATTTGTCACCATTAAATGCTCATATGTGTTTGGGATGTCTTTCAGGTCTCGGCTGTTCCTAGTGCCGGAGGGCCAGACAACCTAATCCTGCTGGACAGGGAGAAGTATCGTCCTCACGAGGTGGGGACAGTGGGCTGGGCGGGGAGCATGTTTGGACCCATGCAGAAGAGCAGGTTGGGAGAGCATGAATTTGAGGCATTGATGAGAATGATGGATAATTTGGTAAGTTTTTAAACACTGGATAAGAAAAGTTATGTTTTCTATATAAATAAAATGCACAAAGTGGAAAAAAACAATGCTCCAACACCTAGCCAGTTATAGCTAACAATAAAATACAACCACATCAGTGTATTCTATAGAATACCTTGGGCTCAGGTCCAGGTATAGAACATCTGGGTTACCTCCTTGAATAATACAAACCCAGTCTTTCAAGAGAACTCAAACATTTTTTTAACTCACTAGTTAAAATGTCAAATTATTGCCAATCCTGACTATTATTTTATTATTATTTTACCAAATCTCATTACTTTTACTAACAACCGTGAGCATCTTCCACAAACCCGTTGTCAATTGAAGTTTATGAGTTCAGGAGTTTGAGTATGTAATTCAGGGCTGACGGGTGATTTCATTCATGTGAATGCATCTGTGTCTTTGCATATACAATATCTCACAAAAGTGAGTACACCCCTCACAATTTTGTAAATGTTTTATTATGTCTTTTTTATGTGACAACACTAAAGAAATTACACTCTGCTATAATGTAAAGTAGTAAGTGTACAGCCTGTATAACAGTAAATTTTCTTTCCCCTCAAAATAACTCAACACACAGCCATTAATGTCTAAACCGTTGGCAACAAGAGTGAGTACACCCCTAAGTGGAAATGTCCAAATTTGACCCAAAGTGTCAATATTTTGTGTGACCACCATTATTTTCCAGCACTGCCTTAACCCTCATGAGCATGGAGTTCGCCAGAGCTTCACAGGTTGCCACTGGAGTCCTCTTACACTCCTCTATGACGACATCACGGAGCTGGTGGATGTTAGAGACCTTGCGCTCCCCCACCTTCTGTTTGAGGATGCCCCACAGATGCTCAATAGGTTTTAGGTCTGGAGACATGCTTTGCCAATACATCACCATTACCTTCAGCTTGTTTAGCAAGGCACTGGTCGTCTTGGATGTGTATTTGGGATCGTTATCATGTTGAAATACTTCCCTGCAGCCCAGTCTCCGAAGGGAGGGGGATCATGCTCTGCTTCAGTATGTCACAGTACATGTTGGCATTCATGGTTCCCTCAATGAAGTGTAGCTCCCCAGTGCCAGCAGCACTCATGCAGGCCCAGGCCATGACACTCCCACCACCAGTTTTGACTGTATGCAAAACACACTTGTCTTTGTACTCTTTACCTGGTTGCCGCCACACACGCTTGACACCATCTAAACCAAATAACTTTATCTTGGTCTCATCGGACCACAAGACATGGTTCCAGTAATCCATGTCCTTAGTGTGCTTGTCAACAAACTGTTTGCGGGCTTTCTTGTGTATCATCTTTAGAAGAGGCTTCCTTCTGGGACGACAGCCATGCAGACCAATTTGATGCAGTGTACTGTGTATTGTATGAGTATTGACAGGCTGACCCCCCACTCCTTCAACCTCTGCAGCAATGCTGGCAGCACTCATACATCTATTTCCCAAAGACAACCTCTGGATACGACGCTGAGCATGTGCACTCAACTTCTTTAGTCGACCATGGCAAGGCTTGTTCTGAGTGGAACCTGTCCTGTAAAACCGCTGTATGGTCTTGCCCACCGTGCTGCAGCTCAGTTTCAGATTTTTGGCAATCTTCCTATAACCTAGGCCATCTTTATGTGGAGCAACAATTCTTTTTTTCAGATCCTCAGAAAGTTCTTTGCAATGAGGTGTCATGTTGAACTTCCAGTGACCAGTATGAGAGAGTGTGAGAGCGATAACACTAAATGTAACACTCTTGCTCCCCATTTACACCTGAGACCTTGTAAAACTAACAAATCACATGATACCGGGGAGGGAAAATGGCTAATTGGTCCCAATTTGGACATTTACACTTAGGGGTGTACTCACTTTTGTCGTCAACGGTTTAGACATTAATGGCTGTGTGTTAAGCTATTTTGAGGGGACAGCAAATTTACACTGTTATATAGGCTGTACACTTACTACTTACATTGTAGCAGAGTGTAATTTCCTCAGTGTTGTCACATGAAAAGATTTAATAAAATATTTACAAAAGTGTGAGGGATGTACTCACTTTTGTGAGATACTGTATGTGTGTTTATGTAAGAGCATATATAATAAGGGTTTAACAAAGTGAAAGCCTAGTATAAAAGTAAAGTATCAAGGTAGTGAAGGGGTTAACCCTAAATGCAAGTATGATTGAAAAGAGGAAGAAAGAACACTACCTAAAAGATATAGTCTAAAATGTAACTTTTAATAGTGAAAAAAAAAAAACACAAAGTGATCATTTCACACATTTAATCTTAGTAAGTCTAGATATATGCATACCAAGACATAGAGATAATGTGAAAATGTAAGATTTAAAAAAATAGACAGACAGTATCTAGATATCAAAGGTGTAGTTAACAATGTCTAAATAGACTTGGATATAAGACTCTGAATAGAAACTGTCTGCTATTGTGGTTTTCTACTGTTGCAATTTGTCAAGCCGCCTTACCGGCGAAACGCGCGTCGGGTTTTTTTCGATCCCTCCTAACACCAAACCTTCTGCATTTGCAGAGATTATTCTTTTATAATCTATATCTCGGTTAAGAGTTACGTAGACCTTGGGCATGTCGGGAGGGAAATTAAGGATTTAGCCACTCATAGGGTATTGACACTAGACATATTAAAGGATATCGATTAAGGCTTTAGATATCTAGATGCTAGCCAGTTAGCTTTATTATTTGCTATATCTACAAGAGAGGTGCCCTTGAAGGCACAGTTATTTATTGAGGATATAGACATATTATTTCTTTCTTTCTTTCTCTTTCTTTCCTTATTACTTGCAGTTAGTTCTTCTGTCTGTCAGGTGCCCTTGAAGGCACAGATATACCTTTACCTTCTAACTATATCTACTTTGGGGTTCTATATAACGGATTACTCCCAGAAGGTGCTATCTTACATATTTATTTCTCTTCACATTATACTTGTGAACACCTAACTGCAGCCTATATCTAATAGTCAAATTAGCCAATATTTTTGTGGTGTCATACTACTTGAGTGTTAAATTTCGTTTATGACCAATTTGCAACAAAGTCGTTTTCAGAAACTATGGCAGCAGACGTTTTCTATTTGCAAAGCTTGATTAACTATAACAGAGTACTCTTGACAAATTGCAACAGTAGAAAACCACAATAGCAGACAGTTTCTATCCAGAGTCTGATACCCAAGTCTATTTAGACATTGTTAACTACACCTTTGATATCTAGATACTGTCTGTCTATTTTTTTAAATCTTACATTTTCACATTATCTCTATGTCTTGGTATGCATATATCTAGACTTACTAAGATTAAATGTGTGAAATGATCACTTTGTATTTTTTTCACTATTAAAAGTTAAATTTTAGACTATATCTTTTAGGTAGTGTTCTTTCTTCCTCTTTTCAATTATATAATAAAGGTTATTCATCAAAGTGTAGGTTTAAAAATTGAATTCAATTTTTAATTTTAAGCCAAAAAGGTTGAAAAATAACGTACTTTGAATTCACTATAAATTTCCAACAGTTTAAACATCAGTGAGTAACTCTGCCAGTGTGTGTTAGTTCCAGCGTTATATTTAGTATGTGGAAAGTGTGTGTGAATGTCATGGTATATTTTCTAGTATTGCAGTGTGTGTTATTGCAGGGGTGTGTTTGTGTGAGGTAGTGTGTGAATACAGGTTAGCAGTTTTGTATGCTTGTGTATGAATGCATTTTTACATTTTGTTTATCTTTTCGCACCCTGTTATCATTTGCATACTATCTTCTCTCTCACTTTAATGTTTCTCACTACACCCCACATCACTATTGATCTAATTATTCTCTCTTGCTGGATCTTCTCAAAGTATTTTTGTTGTTTCCTTCCTTGACCATTAAACAAGTAAAATAAAAAATTCTACAGACTCAAGTGAGTAACAAAAATGGTACAAATTGAATTGCTGACTTATAAAATGAGTGTTCTTAGTGTCAGTGACAAAGAGCTTGCACAACACATGTCATTTGTTTCACACACCCTCACGATTATCATTGATGTCTGCAGAATGTTCGCAATGGAACACTAAAGGTATTTTGTTTTTTCTATGGGCTCCAACTGCATACACCACTCTTACCTTTGTTTAGTTTTAACTCCCACACCATCCTTCTGTTCACACCACGCACAGGTGGCGTGCTGCACATGTTATTCATCTTAAGAATTAAAAGTAATACAGCCATTGTGACAGCCTCTAAATCTCCATGTCTACCAGTCAACCTCACCCATGTCTTATCTGATCCACTGAAATGAACTCTCTCGTGACTAACCAGACAGATTCCCATTAAAACCAGTTAACAATGATCTATGCACTGTAATAGTGCAATGTATGGGCTGATAATAGTAGTTTTGTCCAATATTACATCCCTGACCACGCAGAACTGTCATCCATATTAAAATAGGAATCTTCTCATGATTTGAAGCATAGAGTTTAAACTCAAGCTCAGGAGGGCTCTTGTGGGCATAAAATCTATTTAAATAATTTCAATCGGTAATCAACAAAAATCAACATGATCTAGAAACACTTTCAAATCTTCCCCAAGCCTAAAATCCTTTAAGAGATCCCTCTCTACATATCGCAAAACAGAATGCACCTGTCATGGCTAATTATATATTTTATTACCTGTTCGATGTTAAATTTTGTATTTATTGTGTATTAATATTGTTTTCGTATTTTATTGTACCATAATGTATCAACGCAATGTTTTGTGGACCCAGGACATACTTGAAAACGAGAGAAATCTCAATGTATCTTTCCTGGTAAAATATTTTATAAAAAAATAAAGCAACAGATCACAATTTAATCTTCTCATTCATCCTTTAAGCATTAACTCTTGGTTTTCAGTCTTCCTTTAGGTCCATTGTGTTACCATCATCCCTGTCCCACAAGCCTGCTGCCACTCCAAGATTTTCACTCTGACCATTCTTTCAATCTTAACATTCTTTCAATCTCCAAAACCTGCTCTTTTTGCCTTAAAAATAATGCGTGCATCCCCTTTTTACCAGAAGATACCACCAAAGCTCTCTTGCTCACTCGTACATTATCTGACTTTATCGCTGTAATCCATGGTCCATCCGTCTCACATATGCACAAATTAACCCCGTACAATTCATGATGCATGTTTCTTCCAGGCATTTCTTAACCATCACTCATCACAGCTCTCCCCTCTGTCAGTTTGTCTGATGCATTCTTTTATTTTTCATGATTTAATGCAAGTTCTTGGTCTTACTTGCAAAACTCTCCACAAGTGTACCCCAAATTTAATTAATCCCCAGTTAGAAAACAAGTGGAAAAACCGCATGTTGTAAATTATTGAACTTGAGAAGCTGGTTAATTAGAAGCTGATGTCCCATCTGGTGGTTAGGAAATGGTACTGCAGGTAAAAGTCCTCAGAAACAAGAACTAATTACAAAATAAACTGTTACTATAACTGTAAAGGGAGACTAATCAGGGTAAATCCGGCATTTTTCTGAACTGTATATACCAGATCTCTGTACCTCAAAGGAAAAAAAAAAAGGACCTAGTAATTAAAAAGTAAAAAGAGATCTTTTTTTTTCCGTAGTTAGAATTCACAACAACAAAAAATTTAGTGTTTACAGCACCACGTAAGTATGCCTTTATGTAGGTTACATAATACAGATTAAGGAACAGCACACACATAAAAATGCAGTTTTATATTTAATAAGGCTACTTAAAATCACCTCTCAGCAAACAAATATGGGGATTCATTTTCATTATATGGCCATATTGTGTTAAGCCCACCACTACGCCATAGTACCAAAATATTGGTTACCAGCACAGAAATTCAGCCTGTAAGGTAATGCTGAAATGGCAAACTTTCGTTATCCCAAAATATACTTCTAAATACAACGTAGAGTAAAGCAAAAAAGTAAACACCTCATTTTAAATGTAATAGCCAAACCCTCAAGCTCAAAATGTTTTCAATAAAGAAAAACGAACAAAAGAAGAAGCCTCAGACATTATTAAAACCAGTAGTAATTTATAGCTAAACTATGTAAGAAGGCAGAATTGATACTCAGCAGAGCCTTGTATGATAGAACATACTGGTTCGCAGCTTAAATGGTTACACCCACAAAACAAACACTGGTTTTTGGTTATAGACTAACCCTTTTTTCAGTGCTCCACCCCAAATTTAAAGAAAAATTAGAACTTAAACAAGAAGTTAACTTAACAAAAAATAAACCACTTTAAAGAAAATAAAAAAAAATACTAAAAATTATCTCTGTTCTATCCCGAGTCCAAGTTCTCCATTGTCCTCCCTTCAGTCTGTCCTGGACGGAGGTCAGGTAGGATGGACTGAGGCAATGCCATCTTAACACATGGGCACGCTGGGCAGTTGTCCAGGGCCCACAGTACTCACTATGGGGCGGATTACTCATGTGTGCCCCTACACTTTCTCCGAATTTGGAAGAAGCCGGCACTCCTGTCAGGTCAGTTAGGCTGTGGACTGTACGCTGTTCAAGAATGGGCGCCACAGCTGAAGGAGTATCAGACCACCTCCACGGCCCACACAGTATACAGGACAGCACAAGGGTGCAGCTTTCACGCACCCCTGCCACCTACCCTGTGCCATAAGTAGCACATGGCAGCAAGACCTGAGTTCTCAGAGCAGAGCAAGTATCACTCTGACTGAAATGGCCTGCTTTCAACTGCCCCCAGAATGTGAGGAATGAGGGAAGGCTGCTTGCTGTGTCTGTTTAGCAGTCTGTTTGTGTAGTTTTCCAGAGTTTTCTCCTATTTTTTTTAAGTGAATCTCACACAGTACAAATATACAGCAATTGTCACAGCCTGTAAAATATTAGAAACATATAGACTAATTGGATATAGTGCTTTGTAATGTTATAGTAGTCTTAGTAAGTTACACAAGTGTTGCCTCCTATAGCACAAATATAATAAGAGTAAAGAAGAAACAACAGTAGTAATGTTTAGTATAATTATGCAGTCAAAGGATTCTTCCCGGGGGCCTATGGTGCTGCTAAGACGTCCTGGACTGAGGGAAGGCACAGGTGGGAGGGGTGCCATTGGCATGGTGTGTGTGTGTGTCAGATACCACTTTTTCACAGAATTGACATTAACCATTCATTTAGATTTCTTTATTGTTATGCAATACTAGGTATGCTGTCTGTATGCTATTACTGCTCATATAAAACTCATGTTGCCCTTCGTTATTTGTCATTTTGTAGGGTTACCGCACTGGATATGCTTACAGACACCCATTTGTCCAAGAAAAAACAAGACATAAGAGTGATGTGGAGATCCCGGCCACTGTTACTGCCTTTGTTTTCGACGAAGAAGGTGTTCCTCTCTCCACACTACGTCAACATGCTCAGAAGCAGCAGAAGGAGAAGACTCGCTGGCTTAATACACCAAACACTTATTTACGGGTCAATGTAGGCGAGGAAAATGTAGGAAGCCCCAGGAGCAAGACCACAGTAAGCTCCCAGTGACAAGTCAGGGATACCGAGTAGCACTTACAATATTTTTTTAGGGGGAATATCATGAACGGTGGCGTTAACAGTTTTGTGAAAATTGTTTTGTGACTTATAAGTGTGGCTTGTGATCAAGGCTCGCATTGCCCAAGTACACACTGACTCTGTGTTTTTGTATAGTGGTTGAAAGCAGATGAGGTGGTGAAGCCTAGCAGTGGAATGCCTATCCGTATTGAGAATCCCAATCAGTTTGTTCCACTGTTTACAGATCCTCGTGAAGTCCTCGAGACAAGAAACAAGGTGGGTTAAAAGCAGTCTCTGTATGTCTTTCCTGATAAGGCCCGTGCATGACAATGAATCTTAATAAAACTTTTAGTAATATGCACAGATTTTCTCATGTGTGAAATATATAAAATCAACACAAATAAGGATTATTTCTAAAAGAACAATTCTGGGGTAAATCGCTTAACGTAAGTTAACCACCTAGAATTGCCATCTTGTTTCCAATGTGATTTCTGAACATACATTAGACTTTTGCCCTTGAACTACTCTATTTAATTCCCACTGTCTTATATGTTACATAAAAGTATATATAAACCTGCATTCCTAATGTTATAATGTCCTATCTGCAGAATTGTTTTAGGTCCTTTTTTAGGTTTTTAATTGCCTTTACTCCAGCACCAAGACTCCCTCCGTTCTTCCAGCCACTCCTCCACCCGAGACGTTATCTGGCTCTCGAACTGATGGCCAATCCAATGCTCCTCATAGAGGAGCAATTAAAACTGAGGAACATGTGCAGCGTGTGCATGCAAATGCTACTTATGGGTAACCATTGGACTCAATGCTTTCCTGTGAGTTGCAACCTCAAGAAACTGGGTCATAGGTCATAGGTGTTTCGTTGGAGAATTAAAATGACAGGACGACTGCACCCAGCACTCTTCTTGAAGTTTTCTGTGTGAGATGAAGTGATCTGTGTGACTTTAGTGGTCCTTAAATTCTGGTAATCTTTGTGGCTGTTGTCAATGTCTCATACTTTGGGTGTATAGTCTGTTCATCGTAATCGTAAGCTGTCGTAAACTCTCACATTTGTTAACATTTCTGTGATCATCATGAATACAAGCTATACATTTTTGAAAACTATAAAAAATTGTCTAGACCAGAGCCTAAAATTTCAAATTCTACGTTACTAGTCTGGCTTTTACTTGCCAGTATCCATGATATACTTACCCTGATCTAAATATTCCAAATCCATATATACGTGCATCACAAATATGTTAATATTACAAGTCAGTGGTGCAGGGGAGGGGGAGTTGTGCCATCAACAATGACATGCATGTTCCGTTCCAGGTCTGAATCCTGCTGTAGTGTTCATGCATGGGCAAAATGCTCTGTGTTTGCATTATAAGGTGCAAGAGAATTTGATGAGATGCTTGTGCTATAGTTGGTGAAAACCTGTCTCTGCTGCCCCAATACGTGTGACACCAGAGTACAAACAGATGGTGCTACCAGACTGTGTTGTACCGGTATGAGGAGGCTACTTGTGGTGTCACGTTAGTGTGTAGAAACTTTTTATGGAGGAGGCTGCTTGTGAGACTGCTTATGTGTGTGGAGGATGCTTACTTGTGGGCTTGCTCTTGTATGTCGGAGAGGCTATTTGTGAAGTTGTGCATGCGTGGAGGAGCTATTTGTGGTGTAGTATGTGTGTATGTTTGAAGGGAGCTGTTTGTGTTATAACATGTTTGGATAGAGGCTGTAGTGTGCGTAAAGAGGGTATTTAAGTGGTATGTGTATGTGTGTGGGAGTTAAGGTATACATATGGGGCTGTAGTGTGTGTGTGCGTATGCATGGATAGGAGCTGTAGTATGTTTGTATATAGGGCCTATAATGTCTGTAGAATGGGATTGTGCACAGATCTGTAGTATGTATATGTGTATAGAGACTGTGGCTTGTGTTTGTAAGTTTATCCTCCTCCCTCTTGCTTACCTTGGACCAAAGAGTAGGAACCTGATGGTAGGGACCCTGATTGGTAGTGGGTGGAGCATTCAGTTTACACCTCCAACTGGTGGAGATAATTTTTAATACAGATCACAAGTTTCTTATGACCCCAAATATTAGAATGTGCTAGGCCAGTCAGGGAGATCTCCAGGTATATTTAAAATGCATGGTGGGGACAACATTTCGTCCTTAGAGCCAGGCAGCATCATGGCTTGGGACCATTTTAAATTCAAAAAGGACTGGGATGGAGAACTGAAACTAACCAGTATGGTCTTTTGTTTGTCTGCTACTTTACATCCCTATGTGATGTAATATGATGACATGCATTCAATTATGCAGTCAGATGGGCTATATTCAATAAATGAATTTATGAGATCCCATAACATTTCCCTGTCCAACATCTAGACTAAAACTAAATTAAACAGTTGTGGCTTTTGTTTTTTTGTCTTCCAGATACGAGAACAAAATCGACAAGATGTGAAATCTGCTGGACCTCAGTCTCAATTATTAGCTAGTGTCATAACAGATAAAAGCAGAAGTCCGGTATGATTTTAAATTCCTTTTGAGAAGCTCAGATGATGAAACAAAGCAGAAATGTTAACAAAATCTGATTGGCATAATGCATACATATAGTATATACTGTTATCTGGCTTAAACAGGCATCTGTAGTTTGAAAGGCCATAAAAGCTAAAGCTTTGCAGATAGTCATCCTTACCTCCATGTTTGACACATGTAGGCACCCATAGTGTGTGAAAGGGTAAAAGGAAATAACCTCTAACTGATAAATAGTAAAATTTAATATCAATCTTTGCTAAATTACAGTAGACCAGATTATATATTAAAGATCATGTCTCAGTCAAACAATGTTTTAACCGAAAAAGCTGTGACTATAAAACTAGGTTAGTTCACACTTTGGTATGATACTATGTCGCTAGACTGTCTGCATCTGCGAGCTAAAATGAGGAGGTCATTTTATCACCAGTTGGTAGCAACCCCTCACTTTAATGTTTTTATTTTGTTTGGCTGCTGGGTAAAATTATGGACAACTTATAAGCAAATGTAAATTGTTGATTGCCCGCCCCTGCTACATAAATTCATTGATGGCTGCATACTTCCCTTAATGATGAGAGGTATGAAATCTACATATGAGGGGGTCTGGTTAGTAGGGTGCATGACAGCTATGTCACTAGTTATACACATCAGCCAGAAAAGAGACATAGCATTCCAGTGCATATACCTACCTTGATGACAGACTGCTAGGTTGTTACACAGGCCTACCATTGCACAGAGCACTGCTAAATATTCTCCAGTGATCAAAAATGGAAAGTAGCACATTCAGTGATGCTCTCATTCTGCAACCAGTGAGAACTTTTCTATAGTGCCCCATAAAATCAGACTGTCCTGGCAGATCCAGAATACTTTGTCAGCAAGAGGACTGGGGACAGCGTGAGGACAGCATTGTGAGTTCTGAGATGAATGAAAAGGATTAAAGTGGACATGTCATGTTTTGAGCTGTAGTGGTTATGGTGACTGATGTGTTTTCATTAGGAAAAAAAGCAATAACATTTATAGCCATACTTTGACCCACTCTCAGCTTTTACAATGTAGATTTTACATAACAGAAAATATAATTGTTTCCGATTTTCTTTTTAGTCTGCGGAAAGCAATCTAGCTTCCAAAACAGAAATAGATTCAAAGGAGCAACCACAGGAAGAAACCCCAGTAGAACCAGAGCCACCAAACCCATTTAGCCAACTGACTGACCAGGAACTGGAGGAATACAAAAAGGAGGTGGAAAGGAAGAAGATGGCCCCTGATGGTTAGTATATTGCCAGTCAATATTTCCCAGTCGACTGTCATAAGCCTTTGTTTCATAGATGTATGGAAAGTTAGCCTGGTTTATAGTCCAAGCCAGCCTTTTGGCATAAATAATTCAGCTGAAAACCTACAACAGGGGTGCCCAAAAGATACATCCCAAATGTTGAGAACTACCGATTGATATAAATGAAAAAAGGCAATGTGACACACAGAGGCTGGCGCACCATCCATTTTGCCCCCCCGCAAGGGCACCTGGAAAATAGTGACTCCTTTAGAGAGGTGAATGCCCTGCTCTGTCGTACAAGTACTTTGACTCTGGCTTAGGATCTACCGTTGACCTGCCGCATAGATTATGTTTTTGCCATTCAAAAATGTTAGCTGGTATATGTGAAACATTAGTTTCAACATCAATTGTAGTGACTCAGTTATGTTAATATCGTCTGAAAAGCATAACTTTGATTTTACGAGTTGTGGAGAATTCTCTTGCATTATGTTGTAAGGGCGTGGTCTTGCAGTGTGCGTAATTGGTTGGGATAATACGTTGCCACCTGTGGCCCTGCTTCACTGCTGCTAAAAATATATATAATGTGTCATTTATTTACAGATTTAGGTGACAAGGAAGCAACCATTGAGGACTCACAGCCTTCTTTGGTGACCCCACCTACATCTCCAGCCAGAAGCCCCACAAAAACAACAGGTGTATTTGTATCTCCTTCAAAGTCTTCAGAAGGTAGGTAGACATGTCTCTCTGTAACTATCAGTTGTGTATATTGATGGGAAACTCAGAATACTTCCATATTTTAAATGGCTGAAATCAAATAATATGTGCAGTCCACATATTTCAGATAAGAAAATATCCTCTACCAAACCATAGTGGCACAAATCAGTTGATCAGACCTTCACATATACAGTATTAGTGCAAGTATTTTTAAGGTCCAATTTGTGTCCATCATTAATATCTCACTCTATTCTCCTACTCTGTTTTTTCACTCAACCACTCTCATTATCTCTTTACTGTCCTTCCATCTTCACATTTCTTCCATCTTCTTTACCAGGATTTTTCTTGCTGGCTTTTTAACCATTCCTTATTCCCAATTCATTAATTTGCTTATTTTGTTTTTCAATTTACCTATATCCGTCTTCCTATGCAAATCTCCTGCCCCTGTATATTTATCTCTGTCAGTTTCCAATCTCTGCTTAAAATTGTTTTCCTTGCCATCATTTTTCTTCTATTTTTCTGCATTTTATTTCATAGCTCATTTTCCCTCGACAGTTTTTTGTCCCCCTCCCTCTCTTTTAACTCTATGGTGAACTCTTTTTAACTCTTTCCTATCTATAATTCCTGTTTGTCGCCTTCATCCACTGTCTCACCACCTTTTCCCTGCTCACCCAGTTCTGTATCCTAGCTATCCATCCTAGCCAAACTGCATTCTCTCATCACCATCTTTCACCTGGTTTCTCCCTTGCTTTCCAAATAATTCCCTGTTTTTCCCCCATTCTATCCAGTCTTTTAACTCCACATTTAGTTCAGATTTTAGTACCTTTTCATATCATTCTCTTTAAGAGCAGTGTTACCCATAATCCTCTTTCCACATTATATCACTTTCTCCTTCAGTTTTTAAAAGCAAAAATACAATTGTCAGGCCCTCTGCATACTCATCCTTTTATACATGGAAAAAGAGCTAAATTACTGGAGAATCTGAATATTGAAGTGAGTTGAGAGCAAAGTCCGCAATTACTGCTACCTCCAGGTTTCTGTGACCCATCTCTTTTAACTTACCAGCACACATAAGAAGAAAAATGGCAATTGTCTTTGCATTAAATAGAAAGTCATACACATACGCACATTAAAAGAGTAACAGAGGCCCATTTACAGATAACTGGTCTGGAACTCTGGCAATTAAGCCATGATGATTTAATCGTGGCTCTGTTCACCAAGAACAGTCCCTCCAATAAAGGGACATGTGGTAGATATCCACTTGGGAAGAAACACCAAGAAGATCCTTTTGAAAAGACATGTCATGGGTCACACCTTGTGTGATTTTTTTTCGTTAGGTACTTACTTCCTATTTAACCTTGTGCACAAACCCTATTCAGCTGACCTGAACATGTTCACCTTTTAATCAATGCATGAACTAATCAATTCTTTTGGGATACGGCAAACGAAAAGATGAGTTATGGGACATCAGGTGGAGCACTGAAGTTTGCCAATTTTGGATATTCACATTGGGTAGTAAGTTATTGAGAAAAGCAGAGTGGATTAAACTAAATGTTGGTTGTTTAAAAAAACCAGTATTATGCCATAACTGCTTTATATACTGAAATCGGTTGATTTCTGCCTCCTGATAGAATGTTTCTTTTTAATCAGTGATAGATATCCTTTGCTGGTACAGATTCCCAAGTTAAATCATTAAAATGAGAATTATCAGAAATTCTAAGTGAATTTCAAATTCATGGCCAAAATAGCTAAACAGGAAAAATTCACCATATTTCCTCTCTAGCTACTTGTGCCTTCAATTTGAAATTAATTTAGATTTTCCAACAATTTTTACTTTTGTGAATCAATCTGCCCAACTTAATAGTAGACATTTCGGCCTGCAACTTAACATATCATATGATCAATAACAGAAGCTTGTATTTTGGGAGGAACTGACTGGGGAATATCTGATGGGCAGAGCACTACCAAAAGTTTTTAGTTAATTCACCTTGTACTTTTGTATGCTAGTTACACAAACTAATTTACAAAGAGTGCTGTGGAGCTTTGGAATACATTAGTAAACAACTAATGTTCCAGGCTTTTGGAAATAAGTGACAATAGGGGATGAATGAGGATCAAAAGGATTTGGGTCTTACATAGTCCCCTCTAAAGAGAGATACCTGGAAAGTATTGAATTAGTCTGATGCAATTACATATGGAGAGGTAAGTAATGTTCACTGAGTAAAATACGAACATAGTGTATACCCTATCTTGAAATTGGAAACAAAATATATTGGGTTTACTTAGGGGTAGTATCTACATTAGGCAGTGTAGATTCTCATTGGAAGATTCCTGATTGACGTCTATGATTGTTATTAGTTAAAATGGTAATTGTTTTCAATCATTGTTTTAATTTGCAGAAATTTAGTTATTTTTGTTACTGCAATCTGAAGTTTGGTATTCCATGAAAATGTGCAGTGTGTCTCGCTGATATAAAAAATGTTGTATGGCCATTCACAACCTCATAAGCCTATGTTAAGAGGATGGTAAGAGGTTTGTGCCTATTAGTACCTAAATAAACATCTAGGCCTGTTCTCACCTTCTGTCCTATTTTTCTATTTCCTCCGTGATACATCTAGTTCTCTCTGTACTCATTGTGATCACACGTTGTCATTGAGTCTTTGTGTGTGTGTCCCCACAACGTCTCCCCTTCTTTTTCCATGTGCTCTCTCATGGCAGGAGTCACCTCAGACTCTGAATACCTGTCTTTGTAGTAAGTATAGCTGACCTGCTTTGCTTCTGTGTCCATGCCCTTATGCTTCTTCTCCAAAAACACCAACCACCTTCCCTCTTCGATACCTACATTCCAGACGATTGGTTACCATATAATGCCCAAACACCACTTACAGTACCCTGTATGCAGTTGTTGATTCTCATTGTGATTCTTATACCAATAGTCTAAATTGTAGGTATTATACAGTTCTGTTTAATTGGAAATCGTGTCAGGCTTCCTCACTGACACATTGGTGGCCTGCAGTAACTACTTGAAGAAACATTTTCTCCACAATATCGATTTGGTTAAACTGTTTTTAAATGGATTGATGGCAACAAAAAATTAGACCACGGTCCTAAATTACGTTTTTTACCTGGAAATTACCCAGTCCATTCACTGAACTATCTTAACTACCTTGCAGTTTTTCTGCATGAAGTGAATATGGTTTTGTAATGTTCATAAAGTCCCAAAAATGTATACAGAAAAAAGTCTTTAAGATTTTTAGCTATTCATATCTCGCCAGGAAATGATGTGTAACGTGGCCTATTGCCAGACATCATCTGTGTTGGTAACTCAATTCTGGAATGTAGATCAATCAAACTGAAAGATGATAAATCCCCCTCCAGTAGAGTTCTAAAGAAATTTTCATGTAAACATATCAATCTAGGGAATGTTTCTTAGGCAGGAATATATTATTTTTATCTGTACACATGAGAACAAATATTTGAAGTTTAGTCAATGCGGAATTTGTTGGCGCTATATAAATAATAACATAATAATAACTGTCACAAGTTTACACATGAATTGTAAAACGAAGTCCATGAAACCCTATTAGTAAGATAGCCTCCAATTTATCTGAGTTGACTTGTTTTTCCAACCTTTCAACTATTTCAGCCTAAATTTAGCTTTTCCCCTGTTGAATCACAAGTCACTGCTTAGTGAAACTCATTTTCCTATTTGGTATAGTAAATTTAGGGTTGCATGTTGCTATGCTAAACTTTCAATATATGTTCTCCATGTGCTTTAAGTACAATATAACTAATTCACACCCTGTTAACTAACTGCAAATGCAGCCTTGTTACTCCGATTAACACTCTTAACATGAAAAATGCACCTTTGCTTGTGTTCTTCAATTTTATTTAGCTGTAAACATGCTCCAAATATTAATCTTTTTGATTTAATTAGCAACTTTTCCATTTTTTATAATGATAGTGGAAAAATAATTCACAAAAACATTAATGTAAATGGTGATACCTTTAAAAGCTATCCCAGAAGAAAGTATGCTTTTAATACTACATAAGTCTCTTAGATGGGACCTAAGTGATCTTGAACGTTTTAACGCTAATTCTAACTAGTTATACTGTAAAAGTATTCTCTGTATTTCCACATCTAACACAGTACCATTCTTTACAAAATATGTGACCCTACTATGAGTGTAAAATCTGGAATAGTAATTGCTTCCCAATATCCCATGATTATGCCAGTTTTCTCTTAAAATTAGCACCTATTGCTTTTATTGGTATAACAATATGAGATGGGTAAAATGAAAAGGAGAAATTGTGTGAAGTGACTAGTATTTTTCTTGTATTCAGTGTTCAGTGAATACTTTTCTTCCTCCTAAGTTTATTAGTGGACATTTTAGTCTTGATGCCCAAGAAACTATGATGATTCTCTATAGGTAATTTTATCTTCAAGTCACCAGCAGAGAGAGGGGTTTCTAAGGCTATCAGTGATATAATAATGTTTTAGATTCCTAACTCCAATTAAAAAGTCATAATCATTTATTTATGTCATATGAACTATTGATCTTTGTATTGTCCATGTTTTTTGTTTGTAAAGGAGTAGAGACTAAAGAGGACATACAAACAGCCACAGACTTAGAGACTGCAGAAGAAAAGGTCTTGCCATCTGTGGTATTAAATGGAAAAGAGGAAGATCAGTCTCGTCCTGAGGAAACTCCAGCAAAAGTCACAGACACAGAAACCCCAAAAGGAAAAAATGAGCCACCACCCAGCGCTTCTCCAGAAGGTTCCCCCACCAAGTCACCCTCCAAAAAGAAAAAGAAATTCCGCACACCCTCCTTCCTTAAGAAAGGAAAGAAGAAAGAAAAGGAGAAAGCAGAGTCCTGATCTCCTGGAGTATGAGATCATGATTTTAGAAAACTGTTTCCCATATAGGGTATACAACAAGCCTCTTTGCTTCCAGAGCCTCAGGTGTGGCAGCGAAGGGGGTTAAATGTACCCCTTCAACTTAAGGACATGAAGATTACATGGAATGCTTGTTCATGGTAGGGATGAGTAAACGTGTCTACACATTTCCCAAAACTCTAGATTATTGGTGACATATGATCAACTTAATATTTGCCTCCAATGTTCTTGTGTTTTCACAAATGTCTAGAAACATTCACTTCTCCTTAGTACCTGATTTGTTGGTGGTGTGTGTGTTTTAGGGGACTTGTACTAACTGAGCTAATACATCAAAACACGTTCCCTTCCTTCTCAGACAATCCCACTTTACTTTACAATAAATGAAAGTATCTCTTTTTCTCTTTGGACCATTTAACAAATTTGGTATCAGAGAAACATCAGTGCACATCTCTCTGCTACTGGGAAGGTAGGTTAGCGCTACAACTGAATTGATTACAACATCCGATTCCTTAATCATGTGTAAAGAAGAACTTGGGTTTTATGATTTTCCAAAAAAAAGTTCTTCTCTTTATTATATCTTGGTATTTAAGAGTAAGTTATTTTTTTTTTCTTTTAGTCATGTACTAGAAATAGTAAAAGAGCAGAAGGTAATTTTTTTCCAAAAGATAGCTTTGTGTGGTGCAAACTAATTTAAAGGGACACTAAAACGTGCTGAGTCTCGTTTGTTCAAGGCAAAAACTGGAAAAAAGGATTTCTCTGGAGTAGGGACTGAAGAGTTTGTGATAAGTTTCATTTAGTATTGACTGTATGGGTAGCTTTTAGTGGCTGGATTCTCTACATGAGCTTGTTAAAAACCTGGTAAAATGGATAAACAATACTGGAACTATGTGAGTTGTGATTTAGTAAATTGTCACGGAGAGGTCAGTTCACTCAACAAGGATATGCAAGGTCAACTGACGTACAAAATATATGTCAAAAAAAGATGGAATGCAATCTCTTATTTGGCTCAGTTGGATTTTTTTATTTTTACATTTTGTAAGTCAATTGTCAGTGCATTGCATTTTACTGTATATTGAATAGACCATTTGTCGATTCATCTTTGCATTTAGTATAATCATCATTGGCCAGGTAGTAGTGTGCAGACAGACAAATGGTAATGCTTAACTTTAAGTACATTCAAGAGAAGAAAGAAGAACTTACATGATGTTAGATGCTGAAAACGTGCGATATTTAATTAATACAGTTCGCTTTCATTATTTGAGGGTTGGTTTCATAAAACCACTATAGTAATCAAATATATGTGTTATTCATCATGTCTAATTTCAGTTCTGGAATGTATTTATAACTCTTGTTGGCTTTCTTATTTTATGTTTATTTCCCATATTGATCTGTCTATCGTTTCCCTATGGTAACATTAAAATCCCTGTATCGTTACAAAATTTAATGTACCACAACAGGTGGGATTTACCTTTATTTTAGCTTTTTAAAGTAGGTTTTCAGTAACCCTTTTTTCCTTTTTGCTGGAGGCCGAGTAGATAAAGACATTTTTTTATTTATTAATTTATTTTAGAAATATACTGTTATCCTATACACAATAACAACAGATAATGTTAGAACATGTCATGTTTTCAAGACAATAAGTCTGCCTTTAAATGGACATAACATGACTACATTTTTATTTTTTGGGCAAATGAGGCCACATCGAAAAGTATACTCTCAAGATCCAGACATTTATGGTGTGTATCAAAGCTTCATTAAACATCAAAATAAAACAGATAAAAAAATAATTGTGTCTGTAAACAAATGTTGCAACTTAATAGCTCTACATTCAAAATGTCTATAAGCTGAGACACATACCACATATATTTATTTAGCAATATTTAAAGGAACAATATAGTGTCGAGAATACAAACGTATTCCTGACACTATGGTGCTGGAATGCAGCATTAGGTTGTTGCCCACCCTCTCTCCGGAGATTAAAGCTGATTCCACTCACCTTTTTTCCTACACCACGCTGGTCTCACCGTGGCTGGCCCTGCGTGTGCCGCCTCCATGGCTGTGAACGTCAATTTTGATGATATCGGCCAATCCAATGCTTTACCATAGGAAAGGGAGGCTATTGTGCATGTGTAGCACTAACACAGGAGGCACCTCTAGTGGCCGCCTGAGTGACTGCCACTAGAGGTGTAACTAGCCAGCAATGTAAGCACTGCCTTTTCACTGAGGCAATGTTTACAGTGCTATGGCTGCAGGGACATAATATAGACACCAGAAACACTGCATTGTAGTTCTGATAAATATAGTGTCCCTTTAATATACTTTCATATAAAATGTGACACAGTTTGCCATAACTGTTTGCTTTCTCTTCAATACGACTATGTGATATACTCATTGAAAAACAAGATGCAAGTCATTATGGGAAAACCTATGGATATTCCCTCTGGAGGCGTCTCATAAGATCCTGCAAGTTACTGTTTTTCATGATTAGACTTTAAAAGTAATGCAATAAATTTTCAGGATAACAAGCTAATGGTAATAATAAATGAAAATCAGCATCTATGACAAATATCTTAATATAAATAAGAATATTTTATTTGTTGCTTTACAAAATTATTTATATTTCCCTATTATATTTAAAACTGATATTTAATTTTATTATCTTAGTATTTTAAGTTTAGTTATTATTGGCTCAACTTTAAAATGAGAAGGTTTTTTTTTTGTTTTTTTTAAACTTCCTGCATTCTATGTTTGTTCAATTATTTAATTCCAGAGAAACTTAAAGGAAAAAAAAAATCAATAATATACATCCGGGTGCATATATAGTAAATGTAGCTGAAGTCCACACAATAAATATAGTGATCGTGTGCTATAAGTCTAAGCAGTTCATGGACGCAGTTAATGGTGCTCTGTTTACAAAATTTCTATCTATCCAACCTGTAGCTTTTGGGACCAAACAGGAGCTTTTCTGCACGCACTTTTTTCTAGGAAAGCTGAGCTGGTTATTATCTATTACTCACACTGCTTGCCACTTAACTGCATCCTGTACACATTTAGAAGCATGGTCTAAATTTGCTGCGTGGTTCACCGTCACGAACATGTCACGTTGTAAGCCACTACTACTCTTAGTAATATGTAGAACTGCTGCAAACTGAAGTAAAACAAGGGTTATTTCTAAACAGCAATTCTGAGTCAATCAGGAGAAACATTCTATTGGTTTCCATGGTAATTGCTTTACTTACACAAGTTACACTACAATTGCTGTTTATACATATCTCTTTCTCCGTTTTGTACACAGCTGTAATTGAGCATCTCCAAATTCAATGGATTAGTATTAATCTCTGATCCAATGTCGCTTTATGAAATAGCAATGGATAACATTTAATTTATCACTCAGACATTCTTAATCCTTCCTGTGTTAAAGGAGCGAATGAAGCAGTTACTTGGTTTACTTTGGAGTATGCAAAAATTAAATTCTCTTTGCTTGAATGAGCCCCACTGGCATATTATCTTGTCTTGTATTCCACTTGGGAAGTGTGATGTCTGACAATCGTGAAAATGATGGTCTTTAGTCTTTCCGTATGTATATAATTTCCCATAGATGACATTTCCCTGTATTGTGATGTCTGAAAAAAATGTAAATATTAATTTGTGCAACTGCACTGGAATCTTTCTGCCTCTGTTTACTTCTGTACCTGCAAAATAAACTGGCTTCGCGGTGGGATGTGAAATGTTGCTCTGTGTGTTTGTTTCTTCTAAAAGTGCTACTAAAAATGGTATTGTTCATCTTTTCAGTGCCAGAAGGCAAACCACTGCAACTCTGGTACTTTGTATAAGCCAGTAGTTTTTAAACCTTTATGACAAGTACTTAATTAATGCACTTTGTGTTAGCTTGACATCCTATTCTTCAACTGTAAAATTTGTCCTATGACACATTTTCTCAATTGCCTTATAAAATGTATACAGAATTTAAGTATCTCTAAAAAAAAAACAACACATCAATCTGCCCTATGTAGTGGTACTGCCCCAAGCAGCTAATTTCCACTTAGAATGCAGGGGTTTGATTTCATAAACACCAGGTCACAAATTATAGGCCAAAATAGGTGACATGTAAATAACCAACAACAACAAATCACCAAATCTTTAAAAGTCACACTTTGGCTATTTTAGTTCAAGTTTGCAGTTCACTAAAATCCAGTATTCAGTGAACAAACCCAAGTTTTTAATCACCACAACACTGGCAGAGAGGAGGCAGCAATGAGCACCCAGTAGAACCCAGGTAAGTTGCCAAACCATTCTTAAATGATAGGACTAATTATTCTGGGAGGGTGCTATGGCACTCCTGGCTCCAGTGGTGTGTATTCTGGTTTTGTGCTGACCTAGGCATGAATGACAAAACTCGGGCACTCCCCCCTCTGACAGACACATGCCCTCACTGATACATGTACTGACATACACTCACTTACAGATACACAGTCATTGTCACACACACTATTTAACCAACACAAACTTTCACTGAAACATACACATTCACAGAAATACACACTCACTCATTTACAGTTACACACACACACTTACCAACAGACACACAAATACATTGACAGATATGCATTCACCGACAGACACATACACACTCACTGACAGAAATGCATAGACACTCTCTCAGTGTCAGACACACTCACTGACAAATACACACTGACAAACATGTATACAACACTCACTGACAGACATATATGCACTCAGTGTCAGACACACATTGACAGACACAAATACACTAGCTGACAGACACGCATACACACATTGACACACGCTGAAACATGCATACATACAATGACAGACATACTCAGTGACAGATACACACACTGACAGACACAGTCACTGACAAACACGTATACACACTCACTAACAGACACACACTAACACTCACTAATAGACACACACATACTAACAATTTAAAATGAAAAAAAAATTCAAGTTCAATCCACCCAGCCTTCTTACCTTTAGGAGTGCTGGAGTGGATTCTTCCCTGTGGTCTAGTGGGGCTGGCTGCAGCTCGTCGGTCAGGCAGACGCACAGTGCCCCACCTGCCCGGAGTCTGGCATCTACCTTATGTGGGAGGCAGGCGACAAAGGAGCACTGTCTTCTGAGCTCGTCCCTGCTCAGCTCCCTCGCGCACCTCTTCGTGATGCCAGAGCGCTGTGATGTCATATTCCAGCTCGGGCATCACTGCAGTGCGCGCGAGGGAGCTCAGGGGAGAGTGCTCCCTCACCCCCCCGCCTCCCACATAAGGTAGATGCCAGCTTCGGGAGGCCCTGAGGTGTAATTGTAACTAGGGCCTCTGCCACAGTTTCTGCCTCTGTATTAGAAAGGGCTACTGCCTCCGCATATCTAGTAGCATAATCTTCCACCGTAAGGATGTAGCTCTTACCCGAGGTGCTGGGCTTACTGAAGGGGCCTGTCAAGTGCACCGCTACTTGGTGGAAGGGTTCTTCTATTATGGGCAAGGGGTGTAGTTTGGCCCTCGGGTGGTCACCCCTCTTCCCTATCTTTTGGCAGACGTCACAAGTCCTGCAGTAATTCTGCAGGTCCTGTGTGATCCCTGGCCAGAAGAAGGTCTGGGTTAACTGGTCTTTAATTTTCCAGATACCCAGATGTCCTGCTAGGGCAATGTCATGGCTGAACTCGAGTAGCTCGGTCCTAGATTTACGGAGCACTATCAGCTGTCTTTTCATTACTTGCGCTGCTCCGATCCCTGTTTCACCCTGTATAATAACCCCTTCTTCCACTCAAACCTTTCCTGTGCTATATCTCCTTGGGGGGATGCTGCCTCCTTCCTATACCCTTCTAATGTGGGGTCTGCCTTCTGTTTCTGTTCAAAACCTTGGGGGGTACCCCAGAGCTGGATGGGATTTTCCGCTAGGGATGGGACATAGGGTCCTACCTGGGGGTCCTCGGAATGCGTCAGTTCCCCTCCGGCGGACTTGCAATCTTGTGGTCACCAGTAACGTCTCCTCTGGGTAGGTTGCAAACTGGGATGTCAGATAGCCCAGGTCGTTTCCTAACAACACACCTGCGAGTAGTTTTCTCATAATGCTGACCTCCAAATGCTTGGCACCCGAGCCCCAGTAGAGGTGCACTTGGGAGTTTGTGTATGGCTCATCCTGCCACCCTCATGGCTACCATCTTGTTGGTACGGACTTGTGTACTGATGTTGTGCGGCTGCATTAGGGTGAGGGTTGCGCCAGTGTCTCTCAGGCCCCTTGCATCCTGGCTGTCGATGGTGACCCACTGTCTATGATGCTTACGGTTGTCTCCTGCAGCTTAAACCGGATTTGCCTCATGTAGAACAGTCCACTGCTCCTCATGGTGTCCTTGTGTGGTGGGAACCTACTGTTGATAACAGTGAGCTGAGGCCCTGGCTGGCTACGGAGTTGGCCATTACCAGCTCCCTTTGTTTCGGCTTGGGCAATTGTTTTTAAAATGCCCAGCCTGGTTGCACACATGGCACAAGAGTGCAGGGCGTTGGACGTGCGCTTGAATGGTTGCTGGAGTGAAGGGAGTGGGTCTGGGTGGCGTTGGAGTGCTTTGCACTGGTTAGGACAGTCTGAAAGGGGGTCGCCCTCCACTGGATTCTACCTTACTGCCATCATGATACTAATCGACTAACAGTGCTGCCTCCTCCACGGTTCCAGGTTTCCGATCTCTCACCCAGTCTCTGATCTCAGTTGATGCGTGGTCAACTTCTCCAGCAGCAACACTTGTAGCGCATCTTCCAAGGTTGTTGCTTACCTTTGACAAAGGCGCTTTAGCAGCGCTGAAACGTGCGTTAGGACTTATGCTTTATTTATTTTAAAATCACGGCACTGTTTGTAGGGTATGGAGGATGCACTAGGAGATTCATCATAGCTTTTTAGTTATGGTTATTATCAGTACGGGATTTGTAGGGTTCCTCTCAGGTTACGTTTGAGCAAGGTAGCTGAGAGCAAGTACTCAATATTAGACAGTCCTTATGAACTAATGTGTATAGCTTTTCAGTTTATTCTTTAAGTACTTTACTATCCTTTCCTATATAACTAGTGGTTGGTTTATAGGTCTTAGAGATTCATATACTGTTCTTGAATTCAGTTATTCATCAGCAATTTGTATTTCACAATTTAGGTGTATTGTAAGTTCCCCATTGACCGTGTACAGACTCTATTAGGGCAGAGTATGCCACTCGCCCAATTTTTTTAGTGCTGGAGGTATTAAGTACTCAAGAACTGAAGCATACTACTCAGTATACTGTACAATTGTCTACTTCTCAGTACCATTCAATACCTGTCTACTCTCATCCCCAACAAGATTATTAGACTTTATAGTTCTCCCCCATGTTTTTTTCTAGATGTGATGGGCTTTATTTAGGTGTCTCATTATTTTGACTTTATTTTATTTTCTTGGGAATTCATTTTTATATATATCTGCAACACCCAGAGAACTCTTTTTCTGTGCTCCTTGGGCACTTTAGCCTGGGATCACTTATACTCTTTATTGTTTTGTATCTAGCTCTAGGGTTACCCCCTATATAGGGTTCTTTTGGACACACTGCAGATTCGGGCACATAGGAATTCTGCACTTTTGTCTTGTTGCTTACAGAAGGCTACAGAAATGTCTTACTGTAGGCTTTGGGTGTAACAGCTTACCTTGCCAGTAAAATATCCTTTACCCGCTCATCGTTATGGATATCTGGGCCTGGTACTGTCCAGTAAGCTTCAGCTGCTCTGCCGGACAACTTGCTGTCCAGTTCTTCCAGAGCGCATTGCATTTCAAAGTCCTGTAGGTAGGCATCTATATCCATTTCCCCATCTACAAAGCTTTTAAAGGCAGCATAGTTCACCTTCTTTTGCTGCCCTTCATTACTGGATCCTTGTAGCGAGGCTGTCTCTCTTGGATACATGCTGGCCTTCTGTGCCATCTGTGACGTGGTAACCTGCTCCATAATTTGGACCACCAGCTCCGGTGAGGGGTTTGGTCCCAAAAAACTGAGCCGCCATCTCACTTTCTTCTGGAAATCTGCTTCTTCCCGGCTTAATTCCGCTGTATCGCTGGCTTGGTCGCCCTCCATCAGCTCGGCTATGATTACTGCTCTCTTTTTGTTACTTGCCGACCGACCCCGAGCTTCCAGCAGATCCTTTAGCGTTGTTCGTTTCAGCCTTTCGTAAAGCTGGGCCAGTCACTGGTTTCTCTCGTTCGGGAGTTCCATTCGAACATTCAGATCTCGTCGCTTGCCACCAATTGTAACGGACGCCTAGTATTTCGTATACCCGTTTGTTCGTATACTCCCGAAATGCTAGGGACTTAGTGATTATAGCCCATTCGCATGGAGCGCTGATTCGTTCGTTCCTGAAATCCAAGTTGTGCATAAGAGTAAATCCAGCAGTTCGTTTGTCACACCTGAGCGCCCAAGTTGTCCAAATAGCGCTCCGATGCCACGTATACAGCCAAATCTTCACTGGGGTAAAGTTTTGACCGCCAGCACACAAGGTGTCTGCTCAAATCAGTTCCAGAGATTCAGTGGTAGCGGTCAGTCAATTTCGGTAATTCCAAAATGAACAAAAAGACGAACGGTTCTCCTGTCTCATTGGTAGTGTTTGTTTTCCTTGTTTGTACGAACAAACTTACCGAACAGCACTATCCTGGCTTGTCGTGGAAAGAAGCAGGCGTTCATAATGTTTGGCCGGTGTTAGCGAGGTCG